ACCCAAGCTAGATATAGCATAATAAAGTTCAGGTAAGCTAGCAAAGCCAGAATAAGCCAACGTACTCTCACATGCAGAATTATAAATATATATATAGGAGAACAAGCAGCACAGTGATCACAACCTAGCAAGTGTAAGCGTGCAGGAAAATGTATATAGATCAAAATACAGGCTAAGTCAAGAAGTGAGCAAGTAAGGCAAAGTAAGCACAAGACCTAGAACAGTACAGAAACGCTGATGATCACAAGACTGAAGTGCCTTGGTGAAGATATCACCAATGTTGGCCTGAGAGGCCACGTAAACAAGACGAAGCTGACCACGCTGCTGCAACTCTCGAGCAAGGAAGTAGCGCAGAGCGATGTGCTTCCTTCTGTGCTCCAGTCTGTGCTCCTGACGCAAGGCAATGATGGCCTTGTTGTTGACGTACAGAACTGGAGGAGAACGAGGCGGCTCTCCCAAGTCAGTCAGCAAGTAGGTCAGCCAGCGTAACTCCTGTGCAGCCATGGCCCCTGCGTAGATCTCAGCCTCACAACTGGAGCTGAGAACAGAAGACGAGCGGGTAGACCGTCACGAAACAGAACCGGAGCCAAGGCTGAAGGTGTAACCCTGTGACGACCGCTGCGTAGCCAAGTCGTCAACCCAAGAAGCGTCTGCGTGACCATTGAGGACAACTCGAGCCCGTCCTCCAAGCACGAGCCCCATGCTCGATGTACTGCACAAGTAGCGCATCACCCTCTTAGCGGCCTTCCAGTGCTCTGGTCGGTGTCTCCCGGGTGCAACGAAGCGTGCTAGGATGCTAAGAGGGTAAGCAAGGTCAGGTCGAGTGCAGGTCATGAGGTACATGAGGCAGCCCACAAGCTCTGGATACGGGCCACTCGGCTCTATGGACTCATCCGAAGGCAGAGCTGAGAGCGAGTGACTGGTAGGCAGAGGAGAGGACTGTGGCTAAGAGTACGTGAAGCAGAAGCGCTGAAGGACCTGCTGCACCATGTGTGACTGAGTCAAGGTAATGGTGCGCTGTGCTCTGTCCCGGGTGATCTACAAGCCAAGATAGCTGCGCAGCTCACCCAAGTCTGTGCACGTGTGTCTCTTCTACAGCTCCGACTTCTCGTGGGCCAGTCCAGCAGTGTGAGAAGTGGCAAAGACCAAGTCGTCGACGTACACGAGGATGTAGAACGGCGGTAGCGAAGTGTCGGTGAGTAGAAATAGCGACGGGTCAGCAATCGAAGGAGTGCGTGTGTGGCCAAGAACAGAGCTTTGACTCATGTGGGAGCAGACAAATGGGTGCCCTATGTGGAGTGGATTGGAAGGAAGCCTAAGGTGGATATGCTTCGGGTGTTCAGGTGCATGTGCATGGCGCTCGTGCCTAAGCATCTTCGGCACGACAAGCTTGGTGCCAAGGCAATATGGGCTGTGCACTTGGGCATGGCTCAAAACAGCAAGGGCTGGCTTCTGTGGGACCCATTCAGCAAGAAGTTCTTGGTGAGCAGGGAATGCAAGTTCATGGAGAACCTGATGTTCAAGGATTGGAAGGCAGAGAATGAGGCGAAGATAGGCATGCGGTTTGGGGAGGTGAAAAGTTCCGGCTTGGAGCACGTGGAGCTGCCTATGGAGCTGAGCAGCGGCAGCACTACCACAAGGCAATCTTCCCTTGTGAATTGGGGAGAGGAGGCCAAGGATGCAGAGGAAGAAGGGGAGGAGTTGCAGCAAGTTAGCGAGCGTGCACCGACACTTCCTTCCCGCACTACGATTGCTCCACGGATCCGAGCCACACCGCAGCAACGCCAAGGCCTTCAAGTCCCTGCAGCTGAGGAGGAAGGAAGGGGCAAGAGGATAGTCCAAGCCCCTAATAGGCTGACGTATGATGCGCCGGGAAAGCAGGGCAAGACAGCCCTGGCCGGAGCGGCAATGATGGTCGGAGACGACGAGGAGAGTGACTACGAGGAGTGTGCGTTCGTGTTCTTCTCTCCGGTAACTCTTAAGGAGGTCTTGGAGAGTAGTCATGCTGAGGAGTGGAAGAAGGCCATGGAGAGCGAGCTGAAGAGTATTGAGGAGAACGACACGTGGGAGTTGGTGGAGCTACCGGAGGGGCGTAAGACGATTCCGTCCAAGTGGCTCTTCAAGATTAAGTCAGACGCCGACAGCAAGATCGAGCGCTACAAGTCTAGGCTTGTGGCTAAGGGGTACCAGCAGAAGGAGAAGGTGGACTTCAAGGAGAAGGTGTGGTGAAGCCGACGACACTGCAGACCTTACTTGCGGGGGCTGCCATCAAAGGATGGGTGGTGAAACAAATGGACGTGACAACCACGTTCCTCAACGGCTTTCTCGAAGAAGAGATTTTCTTGGTGCAGCCGGAGGGGTTTGATGATGGTAGTGGCAGAGTGCTGAAGCTGAAGAAGGCCCTCTATGGGCTGAAGCAAGCCCCTAGGCAGTGGTACTTGAAGCTGCGCGAAGTGTTGGAGGAGATCGGCTTCACACCCTCAACGGCCGATCACTCCTTGGTCATGCTTGGCGAGGGGGAGCAGAGGAGCTACATGGTGGTGTATGTGGATGACATCCTCATATTCTCACCCTCCTCTGACCTTGTGAAGGAGGTGATGCTGAAGCTTTAGGACCAGTTCAAGTGCAAGGCACTTGGCGACGTGAACTTCTACCTCGAGCTCCACATCGAACGCGACGTGGAGAAGCGGTGCATGCGGGTGCACCAACAGAAGTACTTGGAGGCGTTGGCTGCTAACTTTGGGCAGAGTGAAGGTCATGTGGCTACACCCTTTCCTTCTGGGTTCACGTGTGTGAAGGGACCAGAGGAGGAGAGCGTCGGTGAAGAGGAGAGGCGCCATTTTCACTCATTGGTAGGCAGCCTCATGTATGGGGCGGTAAACACTCAGCCGGACGTGGCCTTTGCTACCGGGCTGCTGGCTAGGGTTGTGTAACGCCCTAATGAGGGGCAGGTAGCAGCTGGAATGAGGGTGGCCAAGTATCTTGGCCAAACACCGACCGTTGGGCTGCAATACTCGGCGGCGGCGCAAAGGCACCAAAAGGGCGCGAATGGTGTAGAACCCGGGCGTTTGTTCCTCACCGCCTACTTGGATGCTTCATATGCATCGGAACCAAAGGACATGACAAGTGTGGGAGGCTTCATTTGCTGTGTTGGTGGAGGCCCAACTGCTTGGGAGAGCAAGAAGCAGGTGGACCAAGCATTGAGCTCGGTGGAGTCCGAGTACATGGCACTCTTCCGTGCCGTACGGGAGATTGTGTGGCAGCGGCGTTTATTGGCTGAATTGGGGGAGGAGCAGCAAGGAACTACCCCACTCTACTGTGACAGCCAGGGTGCCATTGCACTGGCCAAGAATCCTGTGTTGCACGGCCTCACCAAGCGCATGAGGGTGAAGTGGCATTGGACGAGGAGCATGGTAGCCGCGGGTGAGGTTGAGTTGCACTATTTTGAGACGACGGGGCAGCCAGCTGATATGATGACCAAGAGGGTGGTGGAGCATTGGAAGTGTTGCAAGCTGGCTGGGATGGCTCTGAACGGAGAGCAACAGATCCTACGGCCAACAACCCGAGGGGGAGTTTGTTGGTGCAACCCTACGGTTTGCACTCGGCTTGTTGTCCATGTGCGTGCATGCGTGTGTGCATGGAATGGTATGAGGGGCATGAGATTATATAAATTTCATGCTTATAATATTGTGTGAATGATGAGCCTTGATGTTGAATGTGTGTGTGTCTCGAGTCAATAGCGAGTCATCGCTAGTCGCATGTCTACGTTGTCGTTTGTGTGTCTCGCGCGGTTTCTACCTTGTGGTTTGTGTGTGTCGCGCGGTTTCTATTTTGTCGTGTGTTGAACGTTCGGCGTGTCGCAGGTGTGTGCAGCAGACCCATCAAGAACTCAAGGATGAGTTTGTGATGAAGAACCCGAGCCTTGGTGTCAAGCCTCAAGTGATTTTGAAGCTCATCAAAAGGGTACACTTCAAGATGTTGAAGATAGATACATTACAATGTGTAGTGTAACATTTCTGTTGGTGTAGACCCTTGTGGAGGGTAGTTTCGAGACACTTCTTGGTTGGGGACAGTGTGGCACTGTTCCACATCACTGTACCTCGGCTCTTGGGGTTTTTAGGAGCTAGGACTCATTCCCAACTCGTAACTCCCAATCCAATTTCCTTTGATTCTCGTCACCAGATTCCGTCATGAAGCTCTCCGCTTCTCTGCTGCTGCTTACCCTCGTTTGTACTAGCTCATCCTTCCCTTCTCTAACTGTAGATCACCACCGTGTTTTCGTTTTTCTGGTTCGGCGTACTTCATGTGGTGTTCTTCAGGAAGGTAAGTGTGACCACTCTCCGTCTAACGAGTCCCCCGGTTGCAGTATCTCTGGCAGGGTTGGCTACAAGGTTCATGCTCCCAAGACTGCGGATAAGGTACGTTTTTCGTTGGTTACAGTTGGATCTGACCGTGTAACTGTGCTCGTAATTTCAGGAGGACACCTCAGCTGGTCTTTCCCAGTTGGTCTTATCGTCCCCTATCTATCCCCCAATTACCGGAAGCCCTCCTCCGACCCGGCCAAGTTCCCCTGCGAAAAGCCATTCTTGTTTGGCTGGGTCACCCCCTGCTGCTTGGCTTCATGTAGACCCTGTGCGGCGCTTTCGTGCAACTCTCCATATCACCTCTGCTTCCGCTGGAGTCAGCCATTAGCCAATCTCGCTGGCCCTTACGCCTGCTGCTCACCCTCTCCTCATGCTTGGTTCCACGACTCGTTATGCCGATCTGGCACACAGTCACTCCTGACGGGTTGCTTAGGCCATCGCCGAAGCACCCAAACCGTAGCTCTCAAACACAATTCCTGCTCAGGGCGCCTCGGCTCCCCGCCGTGCCACCTCTACTCCATCCTCTCCTCTGGCTGCACCCCGTTGGTCCCTTGGCGTTGGTATAAACGCCACCCGCCGTTAATTCCTCCTCCATCCTTCACCACCATGGACTCTCACCACAACCCAGACGCCGTCATGGCTGACGATCAGCTCGTTGCAGGGGACGACACGATCACCGATCTTGGTAAATACGTGCTTGACGACATCCCTGATGGCGCCCTGCCAGAGCTTACCGGAGAGCCTGCTGCTAAGAAGCAGTGCGGTGAAGGGACATCCTCTGGTCCTGCCGGCCCCAGCACTTCTACTGCCGCGCCGCCGGCGCCTCCGCCGATGCAGCGCTCCAATTCCTCCGGCAGCTCCGCGGCTACGGCCCCCTCGTCCTCTCGTCCGTCGGCCCCACCAAGGCCGAGGTCTACTCCGCCCGCTCGCCCTCAGCCCCCTGCCCAGGAAGCCGCGGCTGAACAGCCTTCTTCCGGCTCTGCTTCCAACCTGGCCCTCTCGGTGCGCTACCGCCATCTTCGCCGCCACCGCCCCTCAGTGGGTACTAAGCTCCGATCCCTGACGCGGGACACACAAACGCTGGTGGCCGTAATGTTTCCGGAGTGCTCTGAGGAAGTCCGGGAGAGCATCCTCGCCCGTATTGCAGCCGCCCTTCCCGGCCCGGCGGCCTTCAACGGCGCCGTACCGCAGTTCGACGCGGCCTCGGGCGAGCCGCTTTGCCTGCCGTGCAGGTCATACTTCCGCCACATGTATTCCTGGGCTTCGGTTGCTGATGCTCGCACCTTCCGTGGGCTGTTCGCGAACCCCTTCCTGGTGCGAATCCACAACAGCCGCCCGATCGAATTCAAGATCCACACCGATCCTTACCCTGTCTTCACGGCAGCCAAGGCCCGCAGTGACACGTATGTGGTGATTCGGAATGTGCCACTCGGCGTCCAGGCCGCGAACCTACGCCAGTCCCTGCTTAACGGCAAAACCGATGACAATCTTCCCTGGCTTGCGGACCTCCTGCACTTTCACCGGCTCAAAGACCCCTACGACGGATTGCCTTACTCGCAGATGCTCGGCCTCCCCGTCGCGGCTGAAGGAGACCCGTCCTTTCAGCACATCTCGGCTATTCTCTGGATCCCGGATCAGGTGGAACATGCCTTCCTCAACATCTCCAGCCACTCGTGCTCCCTGTGCTCCAGCAACCATCGGCTCGAGGATCATGCCTGCTTCGCTATCACCCGACGCAACCGGGTCTCCAAGAGGTAGTCCATCACCGTACCCGCTCTTCAGGCGGTCAACGGTAGTGTTCCCTCCCTTCCTCGGTCTTACCTGTCTACTCCCTGTCCCCCCCACTTGCTGGTCATCTCTCCAGCTGGGCTCCCTCTTCCCTTTCATCGCCAGTATCTATTACTTCGTTCGTTCCCTGCCAATCAGTTTCTGGTACTATCCTTCTTGTCACCTCTGTGCTTGAGCCGTATCACCCCCTTCCCCGCCCTCCCCCCTTGTTCTGCACATTTCGCTCCCGCTGCTCCCTTTTTCAGGCAAGCTCCTCGACCAGCACGCTGCTTCGGCTGCCTTCAAGAAGGATCCAGGCCTGCTCCTCATCGGTCTGGACCTCGATGTGGAGGTCTGGGCCTGCTCGACCTGCGACTTCGTGTGTGGACTCGCGCTCGACAGTGCGATGTTCCACCTCAACTCCGAGCAGCACCGTACCAAGCTGCAGGACCCTGCGCTCCAGAACACCACCAAGGACAAGTACGGGGCCTGGAAGGCCGAGACCTTAGTGCAGCACCCCCGCATCAAGGCTCTTCAGCAGTAGCCATTCCTCAGGGCTGTGGGTCTGTCGACGAGAGGCGGCCTAGCACATTACTCCCTGCTGTACTTAAGCTTACTCTCCTTTGTTACCCTGTAATGCATATCCCCCTTCAAAGGAAGTTTGCCACGCATCTGTATCACATATCCCTCCGGTTCTTGTCTCCCTTCCCTACCCCGTGGATGCACATGCCTGCGCATGTGGGGGTCCTCGCAGTTGATCAATATTAGTCCCCTTAACCATGAGATGTATCAATGTGAACGGGATTAATAAACAACAAAAAATTAACCACCTTCGAGGCTGGCACAATAAACGAGACCCAAAAGCAGACATCCTCATCCTCCAGGCTCACTCTTAACTTCCAAAAACTTATATTACCACTTAAACCCTCCTCCTATGCGCACTGCCCCTCCCCATTTCTCAATCGCTCCAAACGAGGGGGACTCGCGGTCCTAATATTCCACAACCAGATTTCCATTTCCTCTCAAGAATCTTCCCCAGACGGGCGAATACTCTCCCTGCACATCAACTTCCTCGGCGAGCAGCTTCGTGTCATTGCCATCTATGCTCCCTCCACCCGCTCGCTCAGACGTCCCTGGTGGAGAACCCTCTTCTTATCCGCGCTTGATAAACCAACCTCCTCGGCCGGAACAATCGTAGCAGGTGATTTCAATGCGGTATGCTCGGCCGACGATCGTAACAGACCACCCTTGGCGCACGAAACCTCGAAAGGAGCTCTCCTATCCGCAGCACTCCAGCAGCATTCGCTGGTTGACACCTTCCAAACCATCTACCCTAACGAACCCATGTTCTCCTTCTTCGCCCTGCCTCGAGTCCTGCAAGGTGACTCCCCTCCCACCACCTCTCGCCTGGACCGTATCTACGCCTCGGCATCCCTAAGGTCCCGGATTATTGACGCCCAATATGCGTCCGCCTCCAAGGAGCTTACCGATCACGATCTGGCCCCCTCTTGTGTCCTCCAATGTGACTCCCCTAATCTCGCCCCCAGGCCATGGCGGCTTCCGCACTCCCTCCTACGCCGCCCTCACACGGCTCACCTCGTGGCCTTGGCATGCCAATCCCTCCCTCCTGCTCTGACCAGAGACAGCTGGGACGCCTGGAAGCTCGCTCTTTGCAACCAGCTCAAAGCCTTCGGCAGACAGGAGAAGATACGAATCAGGAAAACTTCAGATCATCTGCAAAATCTGGTCAGCCACCTCAGAATCTCCCGCGCCGTCAACCCCACGGACGAAGGACTCGCCGAACAACTGCGCATTGCCTCCCAGCAATTCGACAAATATGAAGCCTCCCGCGCGGCCGACATTGCCCTGAAAGCGAAGCTAAAAGTCGAGGGCCCCCGCGAAATGGGAGTCTCCTCCTTGCTGGTGGGTATCAACTCCCGTATAAAGGCTTCTCTGGTCTCCTCCCTCCACTCCCCCTCTGGCGAGCTCATCTCGGACCTCCCTGGCATGAGCGACTTATGCACCTCCTTCTTCCAAGAGCTGTACAGCGCACCTCACCCCGTGCAACCAGATGACAAATTCTGGTCCCATGTGCCCCCCTCCCACATCCCCCCGTACGTCACCTCTCGCCTTGCGCTTCCCTTCTCCATGGAGGAAGTCTCTTCAGCCATCACCAAACTTCCGCGCGGCAAAACCCCAGGGCCGGATGGCTTGCCAGGCGAGCTATTCCGCTCCTTCAAAGCTAATTTCACCCCAGCCATCCTTTCCCTGTTCCTCGCTTCATCCTCCGCCCTCCCCCCAACCATGCTGCAGGGCCGCACGGTGCTTATCCCCAAAAAAGGGGACACCACCGTCCTTGACAACCTTCGGCCGATCACACTTATGAATTCTGACTATAAAGTCCTTGCTATCTGTCTCGCCTCTCGCCTCCAGCCCCTGCTCCCCTCCCTAATTCATCACTCGCAGGCTGCGTTCATCAAATCCAGAAAAATAGGCGACACTCTTAATGACACTCTAGACATTTTTGACTGGGCCGCCACCCAGAACATCCCCCTGCTTGCTCTTACGGTCGACATCCGCAAAGCCTACGACTTAGTCGATCGTGACTTCATGTTCTCATGCCTCGTGTTCCTCGGACTCCCCCCCCCCTTTTTTAAATTGGGTCCGGCTTATGCACACTGACACCACCACCAGGATATCCGTCAACAATTTTTGTGGACCGGCCATCTCTGTCGGCTCTGGCGTTCGTCAAGGTTGCCCCCTTGCCCCTCTCCTCTTTCTCTGCGTTATCGAAGTCTTCCATTGCTACTCCTCTCACTTCCTTCCGGGCTTCCCTATTTCCCGCACCCAGCGACGTCTGATGGCATGCTACGCTGACGATGTGACAATATTCCTCAACTCGGACGACGAGCTTCAAACGGCCTCCCATGTCCTCCTCTCCTTCGCTGCTGTGTCAGGCGAATACCCGAACTGGTCTAAATGTGCCATCATCCCATTCCACACCCCCCCCTCCGACATCACCTACGCAGGCGCCATTCCCATACGAGGCGAATCCGAGTTCGAGTGGATCCTAGGAATCTATGTCGGCCAGTCCGGCCGCTCCGACGTCACCTGGGAGAGAGCACAGTCTCAAGTCAAACGTTCTGCCAAATTCCTAGCTAACCTCCACGCCACATCCTCTTGCCGGAAAAATCTGTCCAACAATTTCCTCAATTCGGCCTTGTCCTATCCCGGCAGATTCCAGCCCGGGTTTAGGGTGGTGGGGAACCTCCTCTCCTCGTCCAAGTACCGAGACGAAGGCCGGACCTCACACCTTCTCACTCACAACACGATCTACAACAAAATCGAACACGGCGGGCTCGGGGCTATTCGACCCTCCACGCAAATACTCGCCCTAAATGCCCAACGCGCATTGCGCCGTTTTTCCCACCTCCCCACTGCAGCCGTTGCTAGGGAACTCGAGCCCATCCCCTTCGGCCTCCACGGGTTCCTGCTTCACGAAGACTTTCTCGCGGTCCTCCCCGCCTCCGTGCCCGCCCGCCTGCGCGAAGAGGTCTGGAGTCTTGCCTCCCTCTCCGTCACAATTCTCCCTCCCCGCCTCGAATTCTGGTGTATCCTCGCGGAACCGGCCCCGTTCAACTGCCTCATCCGTAAGCCAGACAGACGACCATTTGGCAGACTCAAAGACGAATCATTCCTACTCACCGAAGAAGTCCGCATAGGCCACATCGTACGCCGAGACGCCACAGGCGCTCGCCGGATGACCGAGGAGGAAATCATGCTCAAATACCCCTTCCGTGTCTACCCTTGCAGCCGTCGCATCCTCAAAGAAATGTATGAGGCAATGCCGGACGAGTGGTGGGCAGCTCTATCCTCATCACACAGCCTAGTGCCCCTGTCTTGCGGAGACTGGGTGCTAATGGCGGCGGACATGCCTTCCCCTCCTCTCATGTCATACGAAGTTGAGTCTGTGCTCTCAACAGATTCCTTCCAGGCTATCGCCTACCCTGTTGACCCAGCTGGCAGAATCTCGAAGGCGGCAGAGGCACGATGCCTCCTCTCCTTTCGAGATACGGTGCAGGTGCTCGTTACGGATCGGTGGCTATGCGGAACCTTCTGCTCAGGAGCGGGACTTGCGGCAAGGTTGGAGATTCTGCAAGAAGGCGCTCTATCGCTAGCGGCTATTCGGAACATGGCGTACACGCAGCAGCCACTCCCGCACGCACAACGGTGGATTAACATCCTCCCAGACCCAGGACCCAGCCTTGTTCCTGACTATACGCACGACTTTCTCTCTGAACAACCCTCCTCACAACGCGACGTGCTGTTCCGGTTCTATTCCCGAGCTCTGCCCTCCGGATCGTGCTTCCTATACGCAGCTGACAAGGGAATCTGCGGCGGGTGCAATAGAGGCATCGTTGAAGATTTACCTCACCTTTTCTTCGATTGTGGTGTAGCTCAACCCCTCACTGCAGCACTACAACGCACCACCCGCTCACATTTAGGAATCTCCACTCCGGCGTCTCTGACCCTGTTCCCTCTCTCCTCAGCAGCAGGACGTATCGCCCCATGGAGTCTCTTGGTTGGCGCAGCTGCAAAGGTCATCTGGAACTCCTGCTGCAGCCACAAATACAAACAAACCCCCCACAACTCCTTCGAAGCCCTGCACACCATTCTAAATCTCTTCCTACTGGCCTTCAAAATTCTTCTCTGGCGGGCTTCCAATGGTTAAAAAAAAAAAAAGAGCTCGGGCAGCGCACCGAGTCAAGCTCGCCGTCCAACACCGGCTGTTTGTCTTCCCCGAACCCAACTGCCCGGAGATTCACCCCAACTTCAGGGCCACATGGCTGCTTACCGACCCCTTCCGCCCTCCATAATCGAACGCTTCTGCCACATGTCAGCTGGATTTGCACCTATTTCACAGGTGCCTCCACGTGCTCCCCTGGTGGGAGCCAGGCTATAGCTTGCTTCCTTATCTAGCTGCTAGCATGTTTGTAAACTGGTTACGACCTTAATAAAACCTTAAACCTTAAACCTTAAACCCAACTCGTAACTCTTCCTATTTTGTGTTCTAAGACTATAGTGGCTGCCATAGTGCCGTTTGTTCAAACTGACGGTGTAATGCCAATACTTGGTGAAATCGTGCGATCTAAATTGCCTATTGTAGGCGACGTTAAGGCGCTCCAGATCCAATTTGAATCAGGTTATTTGAAGCTGTGACCAGAACGCTATGAACGTTTAAAGCCGCTGTGCAGAAATCCGACTGTGCACTCTATCTTTCGTTTGAGGCACATTGAAGCCTATTGTGACTATAACAACAAGGACATAATTTTCCATGTCGGCTTGAAGAATATGCTGTGGAGCGGGGACTGGGAGTTCTCATACCCAAACCTTGTGCGCCTGTGGGTGGTTGTTTCCTTGCTCCCACTCAGCACTGTAGAGTGTGAGCGTGGTTTTAGCCGCTAGAACATCATTAAGTCGTGGATTCGCAGCAGCCTCTGCAACGCAGACTCGGAGACCTCATGTGCATTTCCCTGCTCGAAT